TAAATGAGAAAATGCGCTAAAAACGCATAATCAAAGGTTGTAGTATTCATGCACCAACTAATAAAACCTAATAGAGCATTTTGATGCTGATGAGGATGCGTCAGCATTAAAATAGCAATGATTTATTAAGCATAGGATGGCATATGGCTACACCATGGATAAACAACTATGCCTGGACAATTGATGCGCAGCCTAGACGACCATGACATTCAAGGATTTACGTTCAACTTTGAGCAGTCGACAGAAATAATGATAGAATTTATTTCATTATTTCTGTCTCGGATTAATGCCATCTGTCTCGGTACGGTGACGTCTATCATGTAATTATTCCATGTATGTGATATAGGTACTGGCTTCAATTAAGTAAGTGTAAATAACTCGACATAATTTTAATATACTTGCTTCAAGTAAGAAAATATAATAAATAACTCGACATCATATTAATACACTTGCTTCAATTAAGTAAGTATAAAAATAACTCGACATCATATTAATACACTTGCTTCAACTAACAAAGTATGATAAACCACTCATCACATTAACAAAAACAGGCTCTGAGTACCAAGAAGGCAGGTTTAAAGGGACAGTACCCTAAATGCAGCAGGCATGGGCGCGCTAGAGTTTATGTGGGTCACGGCGGCGTGGGTTTAAAGTTAGTCTGTCACGCGAGCGCCCGACCGGGGGCATGCGCGAGCCCTCGCTAGAAAACATACGAAAAATAACAATGCCTAACTATTAGTCATGCAGCAAACCTTACCGCGGCGAAAACAGGACAACGAAAAAAAAAACATACGAAAAAGAACAACGCATAACTCTTAGTCATGCACCAAAACTTACCCCAAAAATAATTAGTCATGCACCTAAAGTTAAAGATAAGAAAAATTCGGTTTGTGAATTCTCGGAATTTGCGAGGGATGATTGATAATATAATATTAGAATAATATAATATAATTGATAATAATACATCCTCACAAGGGGCGTAGATAACTTCTACTAAACACTGCTCGAGATTTCTAGCAGAAGATGATTTATAAAAATAACATTTTCTTTCATGACCGATAAAGGGACTGAAATTCCCTGTTGCGAAAAAATTATAATTGCAAACAAGGCGTTTCAATGCTTACCAAATTGCGGTTCGAGGAAAATATAGCGAATATTGAAATCGTAGCCGGAAAAAATTGCTGAGAAGGCTCTTGTGATGAGAGCCTTGAGGTCCTATTGTTCATTGGGGAGATTAGATAGGAAATCAAGTGGCGATCGACAAGACGTGCGCAGTGAAAACTGCAATTGCGTTTTTGTTATGACCGCGGGAAAATAGAAGGAATATTCTGACGAAAAATCAAAAGCTGCAGAGTTCTTATAATTTTGTGCCAGATTCTCAGCGGTTTACAGCCAACAGGAACTGACTCGGAGTTGAAAAAATTTGTCTTTACCTTAACTAGAACATGAGCGTATTTTTAAATGGAGATATAATGATGAATCATAATGAGAGAGTGTAGGAAAAGTGTTTTAAAACATTAATTTAAGGAAGAAGCATTTCAGTTGAGAGCCCGAAGCGACCAACTCTGTCTCTCCAAAACCCAAGAACACCTGTGACATAATGCGATCGATGAGAACGCAATCACACACACAAGTGAGTGTGAAGTGGGGAAGATGGTTTGAAAAGAGCAGCTGCAGCAGCGTGAGAGCAACAGCAACAGTGAAATGAGCAGCAGCAGCAGCAGCTAGAGAGCAAGAGCGTAGAGAGCAACATATGCAGTCGAGAGAAGAGTGCGAGACTCAACCCTGACCTAGTTGCTATCCCTGCAGCAGCACAGCCTGTCTGCCACACACGCGGTCCTCGCACCACTGCACAGTCTGCAGCGTAACAGCGGTGCTCAGCCCAGGGTCACATTTTAGAGGCAATTGCATGCGGTCAACTCGAGGTGCTAAGTCACAATACACGCAAACCATCGCCGATTAAACTACACGCTGGAGCGCAAAGCGTAGGCGCTATATATTTTTTATGCCGCCTCTGGCAGCAAAAAAAGTTCCTTCTAGGAGAAAAACGTTTATAAAAACAACAGGGGGATTTTCAAAGGACCGTCGCGCACAAACCTCGAGCTGCTCATGATCTCGTCCATAGAAGCTATTTTTATAATTATTATTATTGCGCGATGATTAGAAAGCTTGTAATGTTAGTCACGCCAAGCGGCTGAATATTATAAAAAAAGACTCATGTATCCAACTAACCCAAAGCTTTCCAACTAACCCGTATTGCTTAGTGACAGCTCCTCAATGAAACTGTGATCATCGCCTAAAGCAAAATGAGACATTCACTTTTTGTTATAAATACAATGATTAAATACTATTATGTTAATGAATCAATCGAGCAGGATTAGCATCGCTATATCAAGATGAATATTTCAGCGTGGTCAGTACAGGATTGATTCAGTCATAAGTTGCACGTCAGAATCTTTCAGCATGATCGAGGTCAGTCAGGTCACATTCACGCCGCGTTCTCGAGTTGCTGTTGTCGGGCGTAGGTAGGGTGCCTGCCGAGCTAGTACCTAGCTGACCAAATTCATTGCAGGGCTGACACTGCCAGCGCCCTCTCTTGGCTGACACTGGCAGCGCCCTCTCTTGGCTGACATTGCCAGCGCCCTCTCTTGGCTGACATTGCCAGCGCCCTCTCTTGGCTGACACTGGCAGCGCCCTCTCTTGGCTGACACTGCCAGCGCCCTCTCTTGGGATCTCAACCAACCATGTTCTGACGTCACAGTGCCACGCAGCACCTCTGCTGCTACGAGCTCTACTACTTTCACATCACAAGATATGCCGAGAGTTAACACAGACCACACAAAGCGCAATACAAAAAATTTGGAAAATACACATCTTGAATAAACGAGGAAAGTGCTTAAACGAGGAAAGTGCTGCACGAGCTTCGTAGAGAATTGTGTTCCTGTAAATCTACGGTGCGGTCTGAAAATTTATATTACCTGTTTGCAATTAGGACCAAACACTGTAGCAGGTTTACGTTAGAACCGTAAAAAAATTCATTTAATGTGAGGCCCAGAATAAAGTCCCTATACGACGAGCACTGAATTAAGGCAAGCTCACATGAGATTTTTATATCTGAAAATAGGATAACGACCTAATAATTGATTCCGATTCTAAAATCATAAAACTATTTAAAAATTTATACAATTTTTTACAACAAGAGATAAGTATACGTATACGAGGTTACTTCCATGCAACATTCTACGTGCTCAGGTGTCTGATCTCTAATAAATTATAAGTATAAATGAAAACCATGGTGACTAAACTCTTCGGAGAATACTCACCACATTTAAAGATACACAGATTTAATCTCTTTGAATCCTACGAAGTATTGACCTAAGACCAGGAAGGTTTTCATGACAGATTAGAGCTATAGACATTATAATTCATGGCTGATCTTGGGATTCGTACTTTCCAAAATACCAATTGGTTCATTATAAAATGAACAAATAATAATTATCATTGGGATTTTTTCCCAATTCAGTTGAATTTGGGCATAACGTTGAATTAAGAAACCTTATTATTTAATTGAGAGAACCCTCAGAAAACCTTATTATTTAGTTCGTAACCGCTAGTTGGCAACCAATAAATTTTCAGTGATGATTACGCCCAGAAAATTCAGGGAAAGCTATATGCAGCCGCTGCGTGACCCACATAAATCTACGCCATAAATAAATAACAATTTGAAAGATTTTGAAAATACATTAATTTACCCTCACAATCAGGATTTAGATATTTTCGAAATCTTTATATTTACAAATAATAGAATCTAGGATAAATTTTACATTTTTGAAGAATATTCACGAATGCAGTGGGCTGCAGGAATCACCACGTGAAGAGGCCAAGGGTCCATTATAATGGCAGTTTTCATCTATTCGTGAGTTCTGTAAAAAAATTTTGTTTACGAGGGAGCTTTCAAGCTGGCTCATTAGTTTACCGGCTGCAGTCACTTGTAACGGTTTGTTTACATCACAAGCAACCTGGTAAACAACGCATTAGACGCCAAACTGCCCGAGCCTCGGACTGCATGTTCACCCATGTAACCTCGGCAAAAAGATCTTTGTTTTTTCATTGAGAAAGATTGAACAATTTTTCGTGCGTTAAACATTAGAAGCAGTCACATACGGTAATGCACTGCACGCCAGATCTGATAGTTAACACTTATATTACACAACCCAAGCTTCAACTAACGCTGAAAAATCCAAACGTTATACAGGAAAATACGAGTTGACACAATCAAGATATAGCGAAGCTGCTTACACTCTTACAGTGTACTTAATAGATGTTGGTGATGAAAATAAATTTCAATTTAAATCACTAGGGTACGATCTTGCATTAGACGAAGGGCAAACGTAGGAGCTATAGGCCATAATGTTGCACTAAAGTCTACGCAAGAGTAACCACAAGTCGAACCCACAAATTTCACGAGTTGCAGCCATCAATGCACAGTGAACAGAAAACGGTGGAGATTGTAGAGAATTGGTTCTAGTCCCTTCAGAAGGGGGACTCAAACTCTACGGAGAATATTAACCATATTTACAGATCAGGGCTTATACTTTCAAAAAAGTTAAGAGATCTAAGTTCATCAGCCAATCATTGACGGCCTTTCAAGCAAAATCCATCAATCATAGACCAGAAAATAGAGCGTAAGTACTTACGTTCACTTAGCGGATTTTGAAAGTATGGCCCCAGATGTAATCTAATCGCACTCATTCGTAACGTAAGTTCTGTGATGCTAGCAAAAAATTCAAACTGTATGATGCAAATTACAACTTTAGTTCGTGAGATAATCTGAAATCCCCGTCGTAAATAAGAGAGAATTTATGAAGAGAACATCAGACGATAACTAAAGGAGGTGATGCAACAGCCGGATGCAAGTAGTTCAAGATTACATCACTTTTAAACAAGATGGTTGACACAAGAGACGAGTCAGTCAGAGATAAGGTGGTAAAGGTACTTACCATTGCTTGTTCAATTTTGTTGTCGATGGCCACGGTGCTGGCAGTTGAGGCACTGCAAGAAATAAAACAACAAATTAGGACATATCCAGATACATTGGTGGAGGTTACAATTAATAGTTGGCTATTTAATAGCATAAATAGTGGCATTTTGACTCTCTAAATGTAAAATTAAGTATTTCGTAATTAAACATCATTGTTACACGATTGAATAATGAAATTGAAAAATATTTCGAAAAGTTTCCGTCAATGAGAGAATTAAGAGTTGGGTAAATTAATACAACTAAATGGACATTTGAATATTCAAATAGATAATTGACAGCACATTAGACAATTTCAGCTTAGAGCGTCACTCATACTATATCAATTAATTGTGCATCCTGATCGAACCATTTCAACTAATTTTGTATCCTCTCTGTATAAAACTAAACTAGCTACATTTTTACGCATGAAAAAAAACGCAGTAAACATTTTCATCGTTTACGCAAAGCGACGTTTCTCATTTCATCCTGAATAACAGTAATTAACCTCAAACAATGGTAAATGATTATTTTCTTGCCGTGTTAACTAGCTTTATCCGAACACAGATGCTTGATTCAGCGCAACTCAGAATTGTTTACCACTAAATATTTATTTATGGGTTTAATTTAAGCCTCGAGGGCCCTGAATGCCCCCATGCAGAAGAGAAGCTTCCCGAAGCGCAGAGGTTGAAGTAAGCAGTGCAGGTGTCATGAGTATTAATAGCAGCAGCACGGCAGCCATACTGCAGCAGCGCAGGCATCCCGCACACGGGTGTGGCTGTGAGTGTCGTCGGAGACTCAGTAAGAATTTACTACGAAAATCATCGGCCTAGATCTAAGATTTATTATTGGGGAATTCGTAGCTAGTCAAAATAAAATCAGCAAATATGATTTCCGGAGTTCATAGATGAAATACATAGAAAGAATATAAAGTAATTCGAGCAATGAGACTACTAAGTGCAATGATCTAAGAAAATTGAGATCGGCCATTTTCCTCAGAGCGTGAGAAAGCAGGTCATGATTTACGAAATTAAAGTAAACACAAGAAAGAACATCAAGGATTTCTAGATAGGGCGAGAGCATTGCGTGACAGCTGTCTGTTAGCGCGCTCATCACAGTTGTGCTCTACAGGTCGATAACCTTCAACACCAACACTCAGACAAAGCAAACATGAAGACTAAACAGAAATTACGCTTTATTTGAGAAATGAAAATATAACGAAGCTTCAGAGAATGGTCAGATATGTCAGCAGGTAACAGATCTTAGACAATTAATTAGCTAACCCTGCAATTTTGCTTATACAATTAATTAGCTGACCCTGCATTTGAAGGATAAGCTTGACACTGCTTTGATTAAAATGAATAGGAATAAAGCCCATAAAACGGCTTTGTGAAGTCGTTTCGGACGGAAGGTTGGGTGAAATCATGATCTAGCATCCGTCCCAGCGCATCAACAATCAAATATGAGTTGTAAACAGACACTTGTGACTGAGCGTAATGTCTGCCATTTCTGTTGAGTACTACATTCAAACTCGAGTTGGCAAAAAAAAAAAAAAAAACACGAAACACGAAAAAATTGCAAAAAAAATGGTTTTGTGAAATAAAACAGCAATTTACGAGTTCGGCCTCGGTCTCAAGGTGACGACGGCCTGTTTGCCAGTTACCAGCCACCCCTGTAATTGGGCCAGGACTAAGGGTCGTCGGGAACATTTGACTACGACATCACTTTCGTTTTCAGACGCGACGAGATACAACACGATCGTGAGAACCTGCCAGTCTCGACTGCTCTGCTGACTCAGCGAATTGGTGTCGCACTGCGGCATACCTTCATCTCAGTCTAGGCAAATCAAAATTCATTTACAAATAACAGAAGAAACATGAGACCAAACTAGAGGGAATATTTACCAATACATTTTTAAAATATTGTTGAGACCTAACCAGAAGATATATTTGTAATACATTTTATTAATACGTATTGCATTGCATGAAGATCTCGACTTACTTGAGACAGCAAACTAACCGAGCTCAATTAACTTGTATACCGTATAACAAAACAAAAAAACATTGTAAACGAACTAAGCACTTAGCCACAAAAAGACAGCATATCCATTGATGCGACAAAGACCGTGTAGGACTACACAGTACACACTATCCATTTATAATTAACCAATTCTGATTTTATATAAAAGGTGCAATTAAATTAAAAACATAAGAACCATCAAACCGACGCTACGCTAACTTGTCCGTTCAAAAGTTCTGACCTAGAAGATACATATATTTATATGATCTTATATCGGTATGGGAGGGAACGATATGACGAATACCAGCAAATTAGCATTCACTCAACGAGACGAGAAAAATGAGCGCTCTCAAAGGTAAATATACAAGTAAACGTGTGAATTATATTTTCATGTAATAATTATACGCAAACTGAATGGTTAAACGCAATGTTTTTTACTGAGAATATTAAGGACATTAATTAAAAGTTCTAATGGTGAGCATTCGAAACGTACGAAAGCAGAACCTATAATTAAATTTCGGCTTAAAATCAACGCAGCAGAAAAAAGGGAGATAACTAAAATCATTTTAAGACCGGCGTGAATAAATTGCAAAGCTCTCAACATTGTAGAAGGGCAGTAAGCAAACATAAACATCATCATAAAATAAAAAATTTAGTCCAACATTTTATGATGTAATTATAAAAAGTTATACTGTTATTGAATGAGGCTGAGCTATAGCGATCCAGCGTGGCCTGGGACTGCTACGTCCGAAACACATACTACTAAGGATACTAAGGAATGAAGTAACAAGATAGAGAAAAATGACAATAAAATGGAAGCAACATGAGATCATCCAGAACTCTAAGAAATGGAGGGATGACCTTTGCTGACACGTAAGGAGCATGAGAACACTTGACTGATTCTGATGAGAACCAAGCTCCGGAAATATATTTCCTGGCTCTGTCAACCAAGACTTAATACACGTGTAGAACGAAAACACTCATCATAAAACATTCATATGCATAAAAGAAACGAAGAATATTTTCAGGCATGGATATAAAAAGGTCATAGAGGACGATTTGGCATCAAATAGGAACAATAAATATCTTGAATATTTTCAGGCATGGATATGAAAAGGTCATAGAGAACGATTTGGCATCAAATAGGAACATTAGATACCACGTAATATTTTTCAGGCATGGATATAAAAAAGTCATAGAGCACGATTTGGCATCAAAATAGGAACATTATAGATAACACGTAATATTCTCAGGAACACGAAATTTTGGAAGAGTAACTCAAGTGGCTTCCATACCAAGGGGACCTTAAGTATCAGGGGACCTTATAAGATGTCAGGTGATGTTAATTACTCTTCCTGTGAGTAGCAACTAAGGAAGGAGAGTGGAGAGGAAGCTACATATCTGCCATCTACTCCAAACATTCGTCAGATCGCCGTTCAAGGCTGCGTTTTTATACACTCGTCACTTTCGCAACTACTGGCACGGATACGGGCAACTGGTGCAAAGATTGACATAGATAGCTGGTCATCGTACAACATTCCAGTTCATCTCACGCGCGTGTTCTTGTGTCTTCTAAACGAGGGGAAAGATTATTTACCAGTATGGTGAAGCACCTCCAGTTTAAGAATTGCATGGAGTCTCAAAAGTATTTTTTTGAAAAGATTATTTACCAATACAGTAAAGACATCCAGTTAAAAAAACGGAATGCTTCGAGAGTCAACTGTGCTTGTTTTGAATGATTATTCACCTTTTAGTAAAACATCACCGATTTGAAGAATGGAAGGCAAGAGTGTTAATAAAGATTATTTGGAATATCTAATTGAATAAATGAACGAAATTCGACATAGTGTTGCTACCCAATTATTTTTAACTATCATTTGTAATTTTGTATTGTTAAAAATGTTTAGTCGAAGCAATAATAAAAGTTGAATGTTCTGTAATAATAAAAAAATATTCTTGCAATATCGGAGCTGTGAGCAAGCTGGAAAAATTAGGAGACAGTTACAGCAAAATTCTAAAACGCTTCAGCAACAACGCAGGAGCGCGTGGAAATGAATATAAAAGAAATTATTTTCGTCTTTCAGAAATAACATTTTTATACCTCGATAAGGTAGAGAGAGTAAGAAGAAGAAGGCGAGAGGGGGAAGAGGGTAAGGCGAGATGGGGTAGAGGGTAAGGCGAGAGGGGGAGAGAGGGTAAGATGAGAGGGGTGGGGAGGAGTTGTCATGGGAGGGGAGATGTGAGGAGGGTAGGTGTTCGCAAGACAATGCAGCTGTTGCCAATGTTTCCACCATATATAAATTCACATATCCATCTTTGAGAAGTATTCATTCGCTCTGTAAATAAATGACCTACCTACGGACAATTAGCATCATACGACGCACTGAAATCGTGAAAAATTCTTAGTAGATATGAATGGAGACCTAGAAGTTTTCTCTGCCACCGCCATTGCAAGGAACAAAGTTCCAGTGTGCTATTCGCGACTTACAGGCTAAATAATACGTGCGCGCCATGAGCAGCAATTGCTGGATTTGAAACTGCAACAAAGGCCAGCAAGTGAGACAGGAAAGCAGCGCGAGAGGAGTAGCTAGAGAGCTCGAGCGATCAGCTGTTGCAGCAAGCGGCTCAACCGACGCCATTACTACTGCTTGCCAAGCGATCGCAGCGACACCTGGGAGTCAAATTCGGTAGAGAAACGTTTGTTAAGATAAGCTTAATAAAACTTACTTGTGTTCACGAGCGATACTCTTACTTAGTGCCAATGCATAGTCTTGGAAACTGTACATATCGGTGCATAGCATGTTATGCCCAACAGAAGAAAATTCAAATAAAAATACGACACGATAAACTGAAGGTGGCGCCACGGAGTTCACTGTACGAGAGAGAGTTGCCGAAAGCAAGCGGAAGGTTGAGAAAAGGGGCGAGACACGCACACACCCGATCACGCCGACGATTCCTGTGTAACTGAGCGACCAGGGTAAGTAAACATAGCGTTCAGCGAGCAATGGTGTGGAGC